GTGCTCTCTCTCTCTGTCTTTTGGTTACTTTGGACAAAGATTGATCTATCTTGTTTATTTTCTCAAAGAGCCAACTCTTTGTTTCATAGATTCTTTGTAATATTTTCCTGGTTTCTACTTGATTGATTTCAGCCCTCAATTTGATTATTTCCTGGCATCTACTCCTCCTGGGTGAGTTTGCTTCTTTTTGTTCTAGAGCATTCAGCTGTGCTATTAATTCTCTAGTGTGACTGTTCTCCAGGTTCTTCATGTGGGCACTCAGTGCTATGAATTTTCTTCTCAGCACTGTTTTCAGAGTGTCCCATAAGTTTGGGTATGTTGTGTCTTCCTCCTCATTGAATTCCAGGAAGTCTTTAATTTCTGTTTTTATTTCTTCCTTTACCCAGGGATGGGGCAATTGTGCATTATTCAATTTCATGACTTTATAGGGCTTCTGCTATTTGTGTTATTGTTGAAGTCTAATTTTAAAGTATGGTGGTCTGTTAAGATACAGGGGATTATTCCAATTTTTTGTATCTGTGGATGTTTGCTATGTTTCCTATCATATGTGGTTGATTTTAGAGAAGGTTCTATGTGGCGCCGAGAGGAAGGTATATCCTTTTGTGTTTCAGTGGAATGTTCTATAGATGTCTGTTAAACCCAGTTGGGTCATAACTTCTATTACTTCTTTTGTTTCTTTGTTAAGTTTCTGTCTGGAGGTCCTGTCTAGCAGTGAGAGCGGAGTGTTGAAGTCTCCTACTATTAATGTGTGAGATTTTATGTGTGATTTGAGCTTTAGTAATGTTTCTTTCACGAATGTGGGTGCCTTTGTATTTGGGGCATAGATGTTCAAAATTGAGACTTCCTCCTGATGGATGTTTCCTTTGATGAATATGAAATGTCCTTCTTCATCTCTTTTGATTGATTTTAATTTAAAGTCCAATTTGTTAGATATTAGGATTGCTAAACCAGCTTGTTTCTTGGGTCTGTTTGATTGGAAAATGTTTTCCCAACCCTTTACTCTGAGGTAACGTCTGTCTTTGACATTGAGATGTGTTTCTTGTATGCAGCAGAAGGATGCGTTCTGTCTTCCTATCCATTCTGCTAGTCTGTGTCTTTTTATAGGCTAGTTGAGACCATTGATGTTGAGGGATATTAATGACCATTGATTGATTTTTCTTGTTTGTGCTTGATTTATTGGTAGTGGTGTTATTGTGTTTAGGTTCTCCTTTTTCTTTTGGTTTTTGGTAAAGTGCAATTACCTATTGCCTATGTCTTTGTGAGTGTAGTTATCTTCGTTGGGTCTAGGCTTTCCTTTCAGCACTTTCTGTAGAGCTGGATTCATGGATACGTATTGTTTAAATCTGGCTGTGTTGTGGAATATTTTGTTTTCTCCATCTATAATTCAAAGCTTTGCTGGATATATTAATCTGGACTGGCATCCTTGTTCCCTTAGCGTTTGTAGGATATTTGTCCAGGATCTTCTGGTTTTCATAGTTTCTATTGAGAAGTCGGGTGTAATTCGAATAGGTCTGCCTTTATGTTACTTGGCCTTTTTCTTTAGCTGCTCTTAATATTTTCTCTTTATTCTGTAGGTTTGATGTTTTGATTATTATATGGTGAGGTTACTTCTTTTTCTGGTCCAACCTATTTGGTGCTCTGAATGTTTCTTGTATTTTTATAGGCATATGCTTCTTTAGGTTAGGGAAGTTTTCTTCTATGATTTTGTTGAATATGCTTTCTGTACCTTTTAACTGTATTTCTTCACCTTCTTCTATACCTATTATTCTCAGGTTTGGCTTCTTCATGGTGCCCCATATTTCCCAGATATTTTGTGTTAGGGATTTGTTGGTTTTGAGATTTTCTTTGGTTGATGACTGTATATCCTCTAATGAGTCTTCAACTCTTGATATTCTCTCTTCTATCTCTTGTATTCTATTGGTGATACTTGCATCTGTAGTTCCTGATCATTTACCCAGCTTTTCTACTTCCAGCATCCCCTCATTCTGTGTTTTCTTTATTGTTTCTATTTCAGCTTTCAATCCTTCAACTGTTTGAGTTGTTTCCTTCATTTGTTTGTTTGTTTTTTCTTGGTACTCTTTAGATTCTTTAAGAGATTTGTTTATTTCTTGAATTTTTGGTTTGTCTTTTCCTCTATTTCATGTATTTTTGTTTGTTTTTTTCTTCTGTTTCTTTAAGGGATATTCTCATTTCCTCTTTGAGGGTCTCTATCATCTTCATAAAATAATTTTTAAGGTCTGTCTCCTCTGCTTCATCTATGTTGTGTTTTTTAGGTCTTGCTGGCTTTGGGTCTCTAGATTCTGTTGGAGTTATGTTGGTCTTTGTATTGCTGAGTGAGCTCTTTAGTCTTCTTCCTATTTCTTCTTCCAGTGGGTGCAGGTGGGGTCTTTCTGTCTCCACTGGTCTCTGTCTTTCCTGAAGGTGAATCTGGGGATGCAGGAGCGTGAGGTCTGGAAAGACTGAAGCCTTTCCCGAAGCTGGGGACGCAGGAGTGTGGGGTCTAGAAGGACTGATGCCTTTCCTGTGTGGTGGATCCTCTGGATGCCAGGAGCGGGCCCCCAGAAGATTGAGGGAGTCAATTTTGAAATTTTCACTTTAGAGCTGGGCAGTGGTGGTGCACGCCTTTAATCTCAGCACCCAGAAGGCAGAGGCGGATCTCTGATTTTGAAGCCAGCCTGGTCTATGGACTAATTTCCCACAACAGCCAGTGCTACACAGAGAAACCCCGTCCTCTAAAACCAAAACTAAAAAAACAAAACAAACAAACAAAAAATGAAAATTTGCTTAATTGAAGTATTCAAAGTTTAAGAAGCTATTATCACTTCATTTTATAGATGGAGAAACAGAGTTTGGAGATGTTAGATTATTCCTCTAAATCAGCTAAATGGAAGAGCAGTAACTGAATGCTGAGGTAAGCCTAGTAGGCATCATTAGGGTCCTTTCCATTCTTCATTTTCTGTTTGGGTGAATGAATTAGAGATCTTCATGTCAGTGTTTCGGGGTAGAGTTAAAGGAGGTACAGACCTCTAATGTTACCCTCAGTAACCTGAACAGTTCCCTAGAATGTTAAGGACTCAGTGTGGGCCAAACCAGAATTCTTGGCTTTCATAATGACAACCAATCTCAAGCAGAGGTGACAGTTGTACTAAAGCAGTTTTAATTCATGCTTATGATGAGGATTAGGAAACGACACACTCAGAAGAAAATAAGGCACAGTGGAGAGCATGGATATGGGCTTCTCAGAAGTATTTGTGCTCATTGCTTTTGCAGTAGTCATGTGAGATTTACGTGCAGTTTGAAGTTACTATCTTACTACTATTTGATTGAAGAGGGGCCCCTGACAGGACTATAATCCACAGAGTAGGGGTGTAGTCCTACAAACATAAAGGATGGTAGAATATATTTCTGTAGACAAAATTACATTTGGTTTGAGATTCTCAAGCAATTTTTATTTTATTTTATTTTTGGTTTTACGAGACAGGGTTTCTCTGTTTTGGAGGCTGTCGGTCCAGCCTGACCTCGAACTCACAGAGATCAGCCTGCCTCTGCCTCCTGAGTGCTGGGATTAAAGGCGTGCACCACCAACGCCCGGCTCTCAAGCAATTTTTAGACAAAGGAATGAGGCCCTGCCCAGGGCCATACACACTGAGATCCGAAGCTTGGGCCATTGCCAATTTTTCATACAATATTTATGCAGAAAATAAATATTAATTACATGTCAGCAGCCTTTACAGCAAATGTTAATTATAATACAGTCCTTGCTCATCAGGCAAGAGGTTTTACTCAGACTCTGAGATGATACCCCTCCTCCCATGTCTCATAGGTTCCGTCTTCATATCCTGTCTCATTCATATAGAATCTACCTCTGACTTGTTTTGATTAATTAACAGTGGTTGCTGGCTTGATTTTTAACTGTAAGGTTGAATACTTTTATGCTGACTATGCACTCTTCGATTCTCTAACACCTCCAATAACCAATCCCTCTTGTCACTTATACACATTTAGGGTCACCTTCCTGGTTCCTAAGGCTTTTTATATGTTTTGATCCTTGAAAGTTCCTTCAACTTCTGGAATGTCCTATCTCAAAAGTCAAGATGGTCAGGAATGTCATATCTTAAGTCCTTCAATCATTTTGTCAAAAAGAAATGACATTCCCCCCTCCCACCCTTGCCCCCTCCCCCGCTTTGGAGTATTTTTCTTGAGTAAGCCTATAACTTAATTAATTCCCTCTCTATATCTTTGTATGTATACACATTTCTTATGTTTGTGCTAAAGACACAAACCAGGAATATATACATCTTTTTAGAAATTAAGCACAGTATCTTGTCAGCTGTAAACCAGGAAATCTTTTCCTTAAGATCTGTGATGTAAATTTCAAGGAAGATGGTGCTTCATTTTCCTGTCATGTGTGTCAGTGTAGGTGCCTTGCTTTAAGCAGTGAACACCTGCCACACACACACACACACACACACACACACACACACACACACACACACACGAGAGGGGGGGCAAGGGAGGAAGGGAGGTTTTATTTTTCCCTCTTTGGATAAATTCTATTAACACAGAGTGAACCGCCAACGAATGAACATGACACCGTGTTTTCTTTTTACACTTGCATGTATTGGACTGTGCCTATACCACACAAAAGGAAGAATTTTCTGCCCAAATATGCAATCTCACCAGTAGTTTTCCCGTGATGCCTTTCCCAGTGTGGTTTGAGGCTCATGAGATAAAATCCTCCTTCTGTTTCTTTCTTTACGTTCGTGGATATTTTGGGATTTTATTTAAAATATCAACAGTGTCACTCTAATTATGACCCATAACTTTATTACCCTCTTTCTGAGCCCTCCTTCCCACATGCTTTCCCACGGCAGGTGAGCATTGTACCTTACTCTTGGCACCCCAATAACGGCCTTGGGAATGGGACTAGGCAATGGAAAACGCTGGTGGGCGCGGAGAACCACCATTCCCAGCATCCTTCGCGCTCCCAGTGCCCGCGGCTTCCTCTTCCGGTCCTACGGCTGAGGAAACTGTAAAAGCTATGCTGGGGACGCGGCGCGGAGCTTGATTCACCTTCACTTGCGCGGAGCACCAGCTGACCCCGGGCTTCCGCCCGGTGAACCGTCAGACATGAACGGACGGGTGGATTATTTAGTTACGGAGGAAGAGATCAACCTGACGAGAGGAGCCTCGGGTAGGCGCGGGACGTGGAGGGAGGCACTGCTGAGCTCGTTGGTTTTGCGGAGCCGGGCTTACCTGGCTGGAGAGCAGGCCGGCCCGACCGAGTTGCTTCCAAGAAAGCTGTCGGGCACGGCGAAAGAGTCCATTGGCATCCTTTGTTAGCTAGATAACGGACCCTGGGACTCTGCCTCACAACCCAGTGGAAGTATCGCAGGCATTTAGGGCCAGGCAGGGTTTCTATCTGCTGGTGGTAATAGAAAAGTCTAGACAAATGCCCGCTGTTTAGACAGCTTGTAGTGGACGCCACATCCGTTATTCAGTTACCTGCATCATCCTTGTTTATCACATCAATAAACGGCGTGGTTTTCTGAATGCATAGCAATTTCCCTGGTGCTAGGACTCTGTCTGCATTTCTGGGAAATTAATTCACAGTGTCAACTGGACTGCTAAAGCAGGAGGATACCAACTACAGAAACTTCCAGACCTAGCGCCACCCCAGAATTATTTGGGCTTGTTTTGTTTTTACTTTTTTTTTAAATAAGCGAGTTATTTTTAGGGATTTAGATTCAGTATGGATTAAACAATTCTTTAAACACTAAGTGTGATTCTGACAGGAAAATTCCCACTCAGCCCTGCTGTGCGGTCTTCCTCACCGCTGCTCATGGCCCGGACTAGCCTTTTAACATTACTACATAGTGCCATTTTCTCCCTTGAATTTTGTTGTTTTCTTTATGGCTGCAACATTTTAGGTTTTGGGTTAACTACTTATGACCAAGTTTTTATCTAGCATCTTACTGGTTGTTGTTTTTCTGTCTGGTTGGTTTTAATTTATTGGCAGAGTAATTTAACTGATGTATGCTATAGGTTCTTGTCTGTAGAGTAGAGATGGGTATGAAGTGCATTGTGTTTGACGTATAGTGTCAGGATGAAGCCAGTTACTCCCTGGAAAATATTTAGAACATTGTCTTGACATATGGTAAGCAGTGTGTATTTGCTGTTATTGTTATCATTAGTGAATGAATGGCTAGACTGGCTCCAGTAAGTTCTGCTAAATACAGTATTCCAAGAGTTGAATAAATCATTGGTTACTGTGCATTTCTATTCTACTTAGAGTACTCTGTCAACTTTTCTCATCTGGAAGTTTGCAGTAACTTAACCACTACTGATAGATTATTCTGTATAAAGCACAACTTTCAGAATTAGTCATACTTTTTGTCTTCCTGTTAGGAAGAAATTGGAAGTTGGTCTTATTTATGGGCACTTACATGGTAAGGTCTGAGTAGTTCATCAGTGCCTGTTTGCCCAGTGAGGAGGTTGAGAACCTGGTAGCTACTCAGTCCATGAAGCTGAATGCCTCAGCAGACCCAACCTGTTGATGTAGGAGGATTCCTGGAGAGCCACTGGCCTTTAGTCCATATTGGAAGACACTGGGTTCTGGTAGCAGGGAAGAATTGTTGCAGCAACAAGGCAGCAGCAATAGGATAGATGGACTCAAGCAACTGGGTGATTAAACTCACCAGGGAAGTGTAAAGGAACTAAGGCTTTAAAAAGCAAGCTTTCCCCCTTGGAGTGCATATTCAAGGTATTGCCTACAGTTTAGGGTGGGTCTTTTTACTTGAAATAACCTGATCTAGAAAACTTCTAATATGTTTGTTTATGGCTAGTCTCTTAGTTGATTCCAGATCTAGTAATATTGCAAACCCAATATTAACCATCACAGGGATACAAATCATTGAACTTCCTAGGAAAAAGTAGTTACTAATTTGGGATTGAATTAGGCAGAAACAATCATTGGAAACTTGTTTGTTCAGTAAATGAGAAAAAATTTACCACTTTCCCGAGCTCGTTCTTGGTCTGTGGTGCTTTTGGTCTCAAGAGTCTTCATGGTGACATCATGAAGATACACAGGGAAGAAGTTAGCCATTGCCACTAAAAACTTGGGGGTAATTTTGGTAGTGCCATAGGAGTCTTTCTGTCCACAGGAGAAATATGAGAAGCCTCTGATTCTAAGTATAGGATTCCACATATAGGCAACATTGTCTGGTTTAATTAATTGGGTGAGTATGTGTATGACATGAATCTTAGATATCTGCAGTTTTGTAAGGCAATTGAACCTACTGAAAAGAGAGACAAATCCACAGTCATGGGAAAATCGCAACAATGAAATGACTGTCTAAGGAGTGAAAAGGAAATGGCATGTAGTGTGCCCTTTGTCCTGTGCTTACTTCCTCATCATTGTAAGGAATGTCTTGGCAGTCTTTGACTTCAGAAGGCTGTTTTGCTTTTGTACTTGGGCTCATTCCTCATGTTACTTTAAATTATCTCTGTCATTTTAAAAAAGATGTCTAAAATTTTTATCTGAATGAGTGTTTTGCCTGTATTAGTATGTATACCATAAATGCGCCTTGCCTGGTACTCACAGAAGCCAGAGAGAGTGCTAAGAAGTCTGGAACTAAAATTGTAGGTGGTTGTGAGCTATATGAGTGGGTACTGGGAAATGAGTCCAGGTCCTCTGCAATAGCAGCAAATGCTCTTACCTGCTGAGCTATTTCTCTGGCCCCCAAGTTTCTGCCAGGTTTTGATTGGCTGGTGATCTAAAGAATTGTTGAAGGCAGTAGTCATAATCTCATGTTTCAAAGGTTGAACAGTTTATTTTTATCCTTTATGAACAAGTTCAGCTTGGTTGTACTTGAAGGATCTCACTTTTTTCTATATCACATTTAGAAATCTTAAAGTTGTGCAGATTCATAACTCTAAGCAATATGACAAGAGTAATCTAACTTTCATTTTCTGTACCAGAGATTGAGCACAGAGGCAGTTCTACTGCAACTGAGAATTATTAGGGTCCACTATTCGGGCATAAGGACTCAGCGAGTTTCAGCAAGTTACTCGCAATCTGCCATCTTCATAGATGAAGGAAGAGACAGTCCATTTCCTTACAGTCTTTAGAGGCCTTTCAAGGGAAGGGATGGTTAACACAATACTTTAATAACGAATAAGTAAGGAAGTATCTTTCTAGAAGTATGCTAAGTACTATATATTTTGTACTTGTATTTTATATTTTGTCCTGTTTAAACGAGTCTCTGTTTATAGTTACATAGGCTTATTTTAATTCTTATAGATCCCCTAAATGGTAGGTATTTAATCTATACTATTAGGTTGAGAGGAAAGTTAAACACTTGCTCAAGAGCTAAGGCCAGTAAGATTCAGAAGATTCTACTCTAGGTCTGTTGATTCTACTGAACTAGACATTACCACCCACCACAGTACCTAAGAAGTTAATTGCTAACCTTCCCCCTGGCTTTTATTTTGTTATAACATGCCTTATTCTCTAGAGGGATTTGATGCATGCAAAAATAACTTGCAAAATCCATTGTGGAAAGATTTTTGGTAGATCTGCAGGCACATTGAGGTGAGAACCTGAAAACAGAACATTACACATTAGTGCTTCCCCTAACCACTAACTGCAGTTGCTAACAGTTTTCTGATTTGTTCCTTCCCACATCTGTTAAATAGACTTGAGACTATAAAGCTATATCTTTGCTCTGTTTTCTCTGGCTATAGAAAATTTAGCCCTTTATAGAATTTATAATGCAATAGAGACATAGTATTCACATGCACAGGGTTAAACCTCATTTCATATGTTCATGTGGTTAAGGACTGTGAGGGTATATATGTAGCAGGAAGGCAAAGGCAGAGGGATGTGTGGGAGAGTATGCTAGCCTGACCCTGTGTTGCTTTGTTCATTACTGTGGCAAAATGCCGACAAAAATAGTTTAAGGAAGGAAGGGTATATTTTGGTTTATAGTTTGAGGCAGGAAAGGCCCAACAGCAAGAACTTGGGGTGGCTGGTCACACTCCCTCCACAGTTAGAAGGGAGAAAGAAGAATGCGGGTGTTCTGTTCATTTTTTTTCCTTTTTGTTCAGTCTAGATCCCAGGTCATAGAGTTGGGTCTACCTCCATTCAGGACAAGTCTTCCTTTCTGTTAAGGTTTCCAGGAACACTCTCATATATATGGCCAGAAGTTTGCTTCCTAGGTGATTTAAAATACAATCGGCAATAAAGATAAACTATTCTAGACGCCATACTGGAAAAAGTCAAAATGTGGAGTTAAGGGCCCTTCTGATAGTTTAGAGGGTTGAACTTAGTGGCTTTACAGAAAGGACAGTTCTTTAGTGCCAGAATCAGGGGTCAAGATTGCTTTAGCCATAAGAGCAAGAAGAAAATTAGTAAAATATATTTCTAAGAGATCAGTGCATTAACCAGTCTGGATATAGGAGAACTTTTGTTCAGGAGATTCAAGAGTGAAATTGCCAGGATAAGTAGAGATTGAATTGTGACGAATATTCAGTGTAACTGTGGAATCCACCTTTCCTGTAGATTCAATCTTAATATCTTCTTCTTCCTATCCATTGGTTAAGATCCAGCCTAGGAATCGTCTCTGGAAGAAGCTGCCTTATTATCAATAATGTATATGAGTTCTAGATTGCCATTCATATATTGCCAAAGCCCTCTGTCCAATAAGGAACAGGTAGAATGATTATCTACATTTTATAAATGAGGAAATCTTGAACTCTCTTGTCACACAGCTCTCTGGGGCAGATTTGGATTGTGTGGAATGAAAATCCTAGCTAAATACTATAGGTTTGGTCCTCATTATTTGCTTTTTTGCATGTATCTTATTTCTGTACTTCACTCCAAAGCATCCTCCTCCTCCTCCTCCTCCTCCTCCTCTTCTTCTTCTTCTTCTTCTTCTTTTAAAGAACATATATTTCACTGGGTATGGTAGTGCATACCTTTAATCTCAGCATTTGGGAGGCAGAGGCATAGGCAGTCAGATCTCTGTGAGTTCAAATCCAGTCTGGTCTACATAATGAATTTTGGGCTAGTCAGTGCAAGGTAGTGAGACGTTGTCTAAACAACACAATTGTTAGAAAAAGAGCATATATTTTATTTTTTTTGTTTTCCTAGTGATTTATTTAGTTTGTCACACAAAGTGGTTAGTGAGTACA